GGCCAGACTTACTGGTTTGATGAAGACTAGTAGACCACGTAAAACTAGGCCGTCAGTCACTTTTCAGCCCAAAATGAAATCAACCATTGTTGTTGTTATGTGTCGTCCAGTCGTTTGTGACTCATAGCGACCCTATGTACAACAGCCCTAAACCGTGCTCTATCCTGTGCCAATCTCATTGCCTCTGACACACCCATCCCGAGTACCCCAGTCACGGAATCAATCTACCTCATAGAGGGTCTTCCCCTCCTGCGCTGTCCTTCTACTCTACCCAGCATGATGTCCCTCTCCAAAGACTTGTCTCTCCTTACAACATGTCCAAAGTATGTCAGACGAAGCCCCAGAATCCTTGCCTCCAAGGAGCAGCCTGGTTTAATCCTCTCTACGATGAATCTGTTTGTTTTCTTGGCAATCCATGGTACATTCAATACTCTTCTCCAGCACCACAGCTCAGAGGCGTCAATTCTCCTTCTATCCTCCCTAGTCATTGTCCAACTCTCTGATGCATAACAAGTGATTGCAAAAACCATGGCCTGTATCAGGCGCACCTTTGTCTCCAGAGAGACACTGTTGCTCTTCAGTATTTTGGAGAGGTCCCTAACCGCAGACTTTCCCATCGCAATACGTTTTTTGATTTCCTGGCTACTGGTGCCAAGAGTGTTGACCGTGGAGCCGAACAAACTGAAGCTGTGAACAATCTCAATCTTTTCACCATCCATCCTGATGCTACCGATTGTTCCAGTGGTGAGAATTTTTGTCTTCTTGACATTAAGCCTCAGTCCATATTGAAGGCTGCAGTCCTAGTGAGTGCATGAGGTCCTCCTCAGTTTCAGCGAGCAAGGTTGTGTCATCTGCATAACGCAGATTGTTGCTAGATCATCCACCAATCCTAACGCCACGCCTCTCCTCATAGAGCCCCGCCTCTCGGACAATCTGCTCACCCATACCTAAGTGCCCATCAACAAACGAATGGCTAGAGAAGCTGTGGTATATTCGCACAATGGAATACTATGCTGCATTAAAAAACAAGGAACTCATGCAATATTATTCAAAATGGTTGACTCTGGAGAACATTATGCTGAGTGAAATATCCCAGTCACAAAAGGACAAATATTACATGATGCCACTGTTGTAGAATGGGACTGTCCTTGGGGTTGGGGAGAGACTGAGTAAGATGGGTTCAATGATGTGTGCTGCACTGAGGCGGAGGAGGGAGGGAACTGTTTAAAAGAGATATATAACTGGGTGTTTCTGTCATCACAGGAGTCTAGAGCGAGGGCTGCATGGTGGAGGGGACCTGGGGGGGGGTGTTTGTGGAACAATGAAAGAATCTTTTCTTTTACTTTTCCATAATTTTTGACTCATGTACTTATAACTTGTTAGTCAAATTTGTGTCTTCTAGGTTGCAACACCCCCATGATACATCTTCAAGGATATGAACATGTATGGCCAAGCACAATCAATTAAGAGTGCATCTAAATTCCAAAATCAGTCTCCATAATAGTCTATGTGTTTCCTACTGCCAAAGGGGCCCTTTAGAGTAGTGAGAGAAGATCTTCACCCTGAAACCCACAGCGTCCCTTTTCAGCAGGAAGTAGCTAAGAGAATACGCCATCCCCTTTTCCTTATGACTCAGGGTGAAGTCTCTCTCAGGGAGGAGTGATAGGGAATGGCAAAGGACACACTGACAAAGAAGATTAATCAGAACTGGCTTTGACAAGCACTGTGGCATTTGGACAAGAACAAACTGGGAGGAGGGTAGAGAGAATGGTGCAGCGGTGAATGAATGGAAACCCACACAAAATCTCTGTAAATGTTTATGAAAATTAATAAAATATAATTATAGAAAAAAAACCTACCACTGTCTTAAGGGAGAAAAATTTGCAATGGAAGGGAAAAAAAATTCATGTATTCTGTGTAATTTCCTATGCCTGTAAGATGATAGTAACGAAATATATTTCAAATAATTAAAAAAAAAAAAGGCAGCATTTACCCAGCAGAAAGCTCAGAAAGCAGGGATAGCAATGGGCAAATGGAAATGGAAAACTCAGGAAGGCTTAAGAATGCAGTTAAAATGAGGGGACTTATAATCAATGTCATACATATGTCTCAATTTTTTATAGGGAAACTAATTTGCTGTATAAACTTTGAGATTACTTTTAAGACTTTTTTTTAAAGAAAGCAGGATTAATTTTAATATACTTTTGCCCAACAAAAGAGATTGTCTTTTAAGCTAAGAGAACAAACAGGTTCGTCCTGGAGAGGGTGAAACCAGGCTGTTCCTTGGAAGTAAGGTTTCTGAGGCTCAGTCTGACGTAACTATAACTTTGGTCACATTGCAAGGAGGGACCTGCCCTTGGAGAGGGGTATTATGCTTGGAAAGGTGGAGGGACAGCACAAGAGGGGAAGATCCTCTGTGAGATGGATTGACTCAGTGACTGCCGTAATGTGGGTAGGTGTGAGACAGTAAGGCAGGTTCAGGATAGAACAAGGTTCAGAGCTGTTGTACATACCACTAGACAGCATGTAACAACAACAAATACACAATCAAGATTTTACATTTATTGAAAGATTCTACTTTTTTTTTTCTTGGCAACACCTTGAAAATCCAAGGTGAATTTTTCCACCAAAAGTGCATTTTTTATTAGAATGTTTATTTTAATGAACGTTTACAGAGACTTTGGATTTCCATTCATTCATTGTTGCACACTTTCCTCCCTGCCTACCCCTTCCCCCAGTTCGCTTTTCTCTTTGAAAAGTAAACAAAAAAAAATCTTTCATTCTTATACAATTCCCCCTCCCCCAGTCCACTCCACTATGCAGCTTTCATTCTGGACTCTTGTCATGACAATAATACCTAATCATATATTCCTCCTAAACAGTTCTCTCCCCCATCTGTTTCAATGCAATATACATTATTTATCCTCTTTTAGTTTTCCCCCAACCCAGTGTTAGTCCTACTTTACAATAGTGGCACTATGCAGTATTCGTCCTTCCGTGACTGAGATATTTCACTCAGCATAATGTCCTCCAGGGTCACCCATTTTGTATACTATTTCATGAGTTCCTTGTTTTTTTAGTTCCTTGTTTTTCAATGCAGCATAGTATTCCATTGTGTGACTATACCACAGCTTGTCTACCCATTCATTTGTTGATGGGCACTTGGGTGTTTCCAACTCTTTGCTATTGTGAACAAAGCCACAGTAAATATGAGTGTGCATATATCTGCTTGGGTGGCAGTTCTGGTTTCTTTAGGGTATATTCCCAGTCGTGGAATTGCTGGGTCAAATGGTATCTCTATTTCCAACTTTTTGAGAAAGCTCCAGCCTTCCATAGTGGCTGCTGTTGTGCCCACAAAATGCCCCTCAAAAAAATCCAGAAACACGTCTGAAATTTCAAGAGCGTTTGTTTAACTTTTCCACGCGTGGAGGCTCTTTCACCTTCCTCAGAAAGGTGGTGAAGGGAAAAAGCCTCAAGTTTTCCCTCCCACTTGCTTTTATAGCTTTTTCTTGGGTGCCCCTGCTAAGGCAAAGAGATTGGCGGGCCAGGAGGTCAGTCATTTGGTCGGCTTTTGGTGGGCTGGTTACTTTGCCCGCCTTTACTCTTTTTTGTGTCACGTAGACACTAGTTAATTCCTTACTTTTTCAAGGACAGACTGGGTTTTACCCGGGGCACTCGTGTTTGCCCTAACCCAAGAATTTTTATGGCCCTCTTCTGCCTCCAGCGTTAATGGGGGTTTATAAAAAAAAATGGGGTTTCTGCTGCCCCTTCAGCTGCACCATTTTACACTCCCACCAACAACCTCTCCAGCATTTGTTGTTTGCTCTTTTAACACATTTGGGAATTGAAGAGCAATTTTATCGGCTGCTCATTTCAGAACAGCGTATAATCCCAGAGGTGCACAGTTCAAATCCACCAGATGCTCTACTGGAGAAGGAGGAACAACCTCCTCCTGTACCAGTCAGATCTGATGTGACGGTACACACACACACACACACACACAATAATAAATTTATTTAAAAAAAAAAAAACAGGGTATAGCATTAAAGCTCGGATTCTGGTCGAGGGTGGGAAATGGGCAGTTTCTTGTATCAACATTTAGCGGCCTGGAGTTGAACAGACGAGAGCGCACAAGGTGCCGTACCTAGGGGTGCTTCTTTTAGGGGAGCAAGCCTAGGTGAGCCCCGCAGATCCGGACCGGTCGTTCTAGCATTCACGTCCCTTCAGCACTTCTAGGTGCTGGTCAACCAGGAAGTAAGGACCCGGAAAGCCGCGTTGCATGAAAACTACATTTCCCAGCATATAACGGGCCAAGGAGCCACGCGGAGGTCTCGCAAAGCCTGTTGGGAGTCTTCCGTGACCTCAGTCTTCCTAGGGCTCACCCTCCTTCAGAGCGCTGTTGACCTTGCAGAACGCCTCGAGCAGTTTCTTTCTTTTCCTCTGATTGGTTCCGCGTGGGGGCCATTCGGGGGCGGGAACTAGCTTACTGATTGGTGGATTCCATTTGGCGCCAACTAGGAAAAGGGGGCGGACCATAGGTGGCCCCTAGGAGCACATACTACCGCGAAAAGATCTTAGCGGTGGTAGCCGGGGAGGGAAGTAGGATTTTTTTTTTTTTTTTTTTTTTTTTTTTTTTTGCTACCCTGTGACCGCCGAGTTGGGCAAGAGTTTTAGAAGAATTTGGACCGCTCCCCATTCGTGACCCGCAGACTTTGTTTGGACTTAATCTTCAGGTTGCCGGCTCCCGCCCGCCCGCCGGCCTCGCGGGGCGACAGTCGGGACACCGGTTCGTGTAGCTGGCGCCTGCCCATCCCGGACGCCCGCCCGTCCGCGCTGCTTGCCCGCGGCCACCGCGTCCCCAAACCGCGGTGTCGTGTTTGTGTTCGACCCGCGGACGCTGGCAGCTGGGCGCGCGCGCGACCGAGGCCGGTGTCTGCCGGGCGGGCGTGGCGGAGGCGGAGAAAGAGGGAGCGGGAGCGCTGGGGAGACCAGGCGCCGCCATGGAACTGGGTCCGGAGCCCCCACATCGCCGGCGCCTGCTCTTCGCTTGCAGCCCCCCTTCCGCCCCACCCGCCGTCGTGAAGGCGCTGTTCGGCACACCAACCACCGGGGGCCTGTCGTCGCCTGTCACCAACCTGACCGTCTCCATGGACCAGCTGCAGGGACTGGGCAGGTGAGAAGGGCTTTAGCGGCAGGGGCCCTGGCTGCTGGCCATCGGGAAGATCGGGGCGGGAAACCGGCCGGGGACAAGCTCGATCCGCCCGCGGGGCTGCAGCGCCGACCCCCGGGGCCCGCCATGTGCACCTCTGCCCGGGCGGAATGTTGGGCAGCAGAGGCCCTTGGGACCCTCCAGGGCCAAACCTCGCTTCCTCCTTTTCCCACTTCTTTCTGATTGTTCCTTCGTGTCCCTTCCCTGTCCCTGTGAGCCCTTTGGGATCTGTCTCTTCCCTTTCCTTGTGAACCCTTTGAAATCTGTCCCAAAGTGGGGGAGAACAGATCTTTCTCATCGCTTACTTCCTTCCACCCTCTGCTGAACCGCACAGCATTTTAGTTTCGTGTGCGCTTTGTTCCTTCCCAACAAAGTGGCATTTTTCTTTCCAGCCTTTTGTGCCAAAACATCCCAGTCCCTCGCCCCTGAGGATACCCACCCCATTGCTTTCCCAAAACCAGACCTTTTAAACCCAACTTTCCATACCCCAAACTCCCAGAACTTCCTCCTATAACAAAAAAAAAAAGAAAGAAAAAGGCAATCTGCAGTGTTTTCGGGAAATCGATCCTCAAAATATTGAGCATCTCATTTTCTAACCAAGCAGATACCTTCTTCCGTTTAAAATCTCTGAAATGCAGAAACACAATATTAGCCACATTTCATCCTCACTTCCAGTACCATCCGGCGCACATTGTCCCATTTCAGGAAATGCTTCCACATTTCTCTTAAAGCCATCCTGTTCTACAGTGTGGCTCAGGGCCTAGGCCTAACTCACTCTTTTATTCTCAAGTGCAAACCGGGTGTGACTTGGAAGTAATGTTGGCTCAGTGCGGCCTGGCCTCTTCTTGAGCCTGGTGGTCTGACCTGTTTGAATCTTTTAATTGAGTCCTAGGAATTTCTCTTGGTTACAGTGAGTATGAGCAGCCGCTGGGGGTGAAGAACAGCAATCTGCAGAGAACAGGCTCCTCGGAATCAACTGATTCAGGTATTTCTGGCTTCACTATGCATTGTATGTTTGGGGTTGAGGTGGACGGGCATTTGGGAATTTGCTGAAACATGATCTTTCACCAAGAAGCTTAGTTTTTGTTGGTGGCATCAGGGGATAAACATTTAAAAAGAAGCCCTTTGTAGCACTTTATGGGGAGAAAACATTCCAGTATTAGCAAGGAGTTTAGTGTGTGCTGGAACTTGAAAATGAATACCAAGAAGAAGCTAAGCCAAATCCACTGCTGCCCGCTCATAGCTCCCCTATAGCAGAGAACAGAGCTGCACATAGAGTCTTCAAAGTTCTAAATCTTTTCAGAAACAGACTACTGTGTATTTTTTTCTAGAGAGCAGCTGGTGAATTCACATTGACTCCAGGCAACTAGTTTAGGGGGTTTTGTTTGATCTGGTGTCCTAGTGAGTTAGGCTGTCTGGTTCTATAATTTACAACTTCAGAAATGTGTTAAGAAGCAGCACTGAGTTTGAGTATACCAAAGGCTAACTTACCAACATGGCTAAATTCCACAGATCAGATTGTTAGGCAGAAATGGAGGCTAACCCGTATCAGATTATATAATGAAAGTGACTCCACAATTAACATATGTATTAAAACCCTTGAGAATCATGGTCTAGACAAATGACATGTTCCTCATGCCTCCAGATTTGTTACTACCAACATGTATCATTAGTGCCCAGAATAATAGCTTTTTCTTTATCACTGTTGTAAATATTCGATGCTGACGTAGTTACTAAGTGAGAAGTGTGTTTTTAAGTGAAAGAAGGGATCATTAGATAAAACTGAAAATATTAAGACTTAACAAGTATGAAGGAGGAACATCTTTCTATAACATGAATTGCTTTTTTAAAAAATTTGTTTTTAAAAAATGTTTTTTAAACTGATTTGAGAGAAAATTTATTGGTTTTTCAAATAACCATTCATAAACATGTTGTATTAAAACATTAAGTACGATACCTATAACGTAATTACTTTTTCTCACTTCTTACCTATAATTCTGCTGTCTGTTGATCCATAAGTAAGACATTTCTAGTACTCAGACTTGAGTTCATTGGCAGACTAATAAGTAGGGTTTAATTTTTGTTTTGTTGAGGTTTTTTTTTTAAATTATTACAGGCTTGTGTCTGGATTCTCCTGGGCCTTTGGACAGGAAAGAAAAGTATGTACTCCCTACTTTTAAATGTTTGTGTTTAGAAGGTTTTGGTTGCATTTTTTTTAATGACATTCTTCCAGCCTGGGATATTGGATCCTGGCTTTAATTGACCTTAGTCAGCAACAGTCACACTTACACATAGGATCACGATGAGTCAGAACTGATTTGATAGCACGGGTTAGTCTGCCACCTGATCCTGGCAGTTTCCCAGCAATTTTTGAAACTGATTTGTTTCTATCAGCAGTTTTCAGATATTCCCTCCTTTGTTTTAGCTGTAATTTTGATGTTCTTTTCAGGGCACCCAAATCCCTGATCTGTTCTCTAATGTTATAACCTTAAGAATATCTGTACATTTTTAAGAGAAAACTGCTTTAGTGGGGTGAGGTGGGGTGTTGTGGGGTTTTTCTGGGTTTTCTTTCACACAGAAATGTTGCTGTTGGGTATGCTTCTTTGGAAGCTTGCTCTATCAGCTGCACTCAAACTACACACTAGGTACTATTCCTCTATTAATATGAATAAGTCTATATTTGCTTTGTTCTCATTGTTGACTTTCTGATCTCATTGCAGCCTTGAAAATACCATGAGAAGAATGCATTTCCTACCTGTAAGTTTGTTTATTTTTGACCGAATAATGCCTGTTTTCTGCCTGCTGCGCTTCCTAGCTACCAGTGTGACCTTAATATGCAATCTTAGAATGTTGACTTCTTATCTATAAGTACTCTCTACCTAAAGAAACTTTGATGATTGGCTCTTCAGGCTTTTCCCCTTCCTCTTGTTCAGAGCTTTATCAAATCAAGAAGGCTTCTTTTTTTATATAAATTGTATTTTGGAGCTGATTTGGCCCTTACTGGGGGGTTTTTACACTTTGTCAGGTTAGATGTAAAGCCATGTGGTGAAGACCTGTAACCTGTGTTCTAGCAGTGTGGATCCTGAACACATTTGTTGGATACCTACTAGTGTGGCATTAGAAGGAGCTAGTCATCCTTTCTTGCTCGTTTTTCTTTTGAAACTGACATTTCATTATATAACCTAATTTCCTCTTTTCATTTTGATGGCAGAAGTTCTTGGGATGTAGCCCAGCTTTGAAGAGAAGCCATTCTGATTCTCTTGATTCTCATGAAGTGTTTCAGATGATGGACCATGATGAAAACAAGGAAAATGTAAGTGTATCATCATTGTGGCTAACTTGTTATAACGCAAGACAGGTAAAATCAATGACTTTTCAGTACAGTCGGCTGCTTTCTGGGAGACTAAACTTGGCCCAGGTCGAGTATGGTTTTGGGGGTGAGAGACTCTTGGGTGTAAATCCTTGCTTTTTTACTACTAGTAAAACATTTCTCTTTTTAATTTTCCATTTTCTTAGTTGTAAAGTTGTTGTGTCTATTAGAGCTGTTAGTGAAGTGTGATAATATATGCATGCAGGAGTTATTCTGATGGTAGCTTAAAGGAATAATTTATGTCCATAAATTAGGACATAAATTATGTCTGTCTGGGAGAGTCTGCCCGGCTTTTCCTTGTTTTCTTTGCTCTGTAGATGCTATAGCCCTTTAGAACTCATAGCAGCCGTAGAGGGGAGAGTAGAATGTCCCACAGGGTTTCCAAAGTTATAAATCTGGATGGGAGCAGATGCCTCATCTTTCCATAATGGCTATTGGGTTGTAACCGCCAATCTTGAGGTTAGAAGCCAAGTGTTTTAACCACTATGTCACCATAGTTTGTTAGGGGATTACAGAGTAATGAAAATGGTGGCTTAGAGGATGAACTTTCATGATTGCCCTAATTTTTTAAAAAGTCTTTGAGCACCCTGGCCTGGCTTTCTCTCTGTGTTTGGTAGGGTGTCTTGCTTAGGGCAGGCGTCCAAAACACTTGAATGAATTCGTTCAGCTTTTTTGGGCCCTGTTACAATTACTTCTTCTGTTTATTGTCCCCCTTTCTCCATTCCTTGCTGATATGTCATAATCCATAATTACTTTATTCTTCAACACTTAGTTCAGAACCAATCATTAACTCTCCTGATGGTGTGTTTTGACAACTTGAAAGATGTTTTGAGGGAGAACATAGAAATGTGTTTCTGTGGGTATACCCTGCTCACCCACTGAGGGCACTCGGGCAATGCATCAGCCTCATTCTCTGTGTTGTGCTTTCTCCTACATCGGTTCTAGGAAATTCCTGGTAATAGCAATGTTGAAATGGTGGCTTAGCTGTACTACAAAAGCAATATGATGGCCCTTGTCCCCTGATCTTGGCTCCCAGTGTTGCATAGCCCTTTCCCTTAGAAGGAAAACCACGCAAATACTTGCTAAAAAGCTCTCTATTTGGAACCATCCCATTTAGCTTTGTGACCATGGCCATACCATTTGACCTGTGAGGTCTAGTTTTTCTCATGTGTAAAATGAGGGCATTCTGTCACATTTGAAGGTGAAAGGATTAATCCACACATAGTTCTCAAGAGTACTGTGTTAGCACATACAGTTATGTAGCACTAGCTTTTAAAGAGTTGTCATGCCAACCCAGAAGTGGGCAATTCAAATCTATTAAGCTGCTTCTTTGGAGAATGACGGACAGTCTCCTTCCAGGCAGTTGACATCCTCAGAAAAACCCACTGAAGGGTCAGCTATGAGTCAGTTCTGACTTGATGGAAGTGAGTTGAGTTGTTGCTTAATAATGAGTTCCTTTAACTGGCTACTTCAGGGTAAATGAATGTGGATTCAAATCTTTCTGTCACAGTTATACTTGTTTTCTTTTGTATTGAAATCCAAAATGAAGCATATGTATATCTCACTTGTATAGCTCAATGAATTTCTACAAGAAAATATACTTGTATAACTAAACCTAGATGCTCTGGTGCCAACCCAAAAGGAGGTGGTTTGAATCCACCAGCTACTCTCAGGAAGAAAGATGGGGTTTTTTCTCCCGTGCAATTGACAGCCTCTGAGTTTGTTCCGACTCAAGGGCAGGTAACAGTAATAACCCAGATTAAGATCCCACGGCCCAAACCCTGATGCTCTTTGCTGTCTCCACGTTAGTCTTCTATCTTCACAACTCGTCTTGAGAATTGTCACCCTGGAGTAATTTCACTTTACTCTTTTTATTTTTTGTTGTTGTGTGTTTTTGTTTGTTTTGTTGGGTGTTTTTTTTCCTTTTTTTTTTTTTTCATTTTTACTTCTGTACAGTATGTGTGCTGTCACATCTGGCTTTCATTCAGCATGTTTGTGAGCTATCCACAAACCTGTAGTGGCTTGGGTTTTGTTTCCATTGCTTTTAGTATGTAATGCAGTCATTTAAGTAGTGTTTCCTGTTTTGCAAAGAGGTGGAAAGCTTAGCTTTTTCTCTGTGGAGTGGTTTTTTGTTTGTTTTGGGGGGTTTAAAATTTTTAAGGGTTTTTTTTTTGGGTTTTTGTTTTGTTTTTAATCATAGGATTGGCAGACATTAGGAAAGAAAGTATTGTGGGGAAAAGAAGGACAGTACTAATTGGAAGTTAGCCAATGACAGATTACATATATTCTTTGTTAGAAATTAAATGAGAAACAGTTAAACTCTTCACAGGAGGCTTTTATAATGTAGTAACTAGTGTCCACTCCCTAGCTATTTCACCTAAGCTGTAGCTAAGGTACTTTCTGTAGAGCTGGTTCTTATGGACAGTAGAAGATGTGTCCACAATACTGTCTTGCAGGAAGCCTTTGAGTTTAAGAAGCCAGTAAGACCTGCATCTCGTGGCTGCCTGCACTTTCATGGACTTGAGAGTAAAGACCTCTTCACACAGAGGCAGAACTCTGCCCCAGCTCGGATGGTATGTTCCTTGGCTTCCATGGGGGACTTTTTGAGGGGAAGAGACAGTGAAAGCATCTTCTTTTAACCTGGAACTGAAAACTTGACTAGAGTTCTGACTTGTCTTTATCTTGACATTGTCTTTCAAGATTTGACTATAAAACATGTCGCTGTTGCAGACAGAAACAGTGTGAGAGATGGTGTGGGGTTGTTTGGGGATTTTTTTGGGTTTGTTTTGTTTTGTTTAATTTTATACTGGTTTGCTTACAAAGTTCATATACATTGCTTTTCACATGAGATCTTTCCCATTTCCTTTACCCACCCCTCCCTTTAACCATCAAATTGTGTGACCCTTTGACTACCCCCCCTGCCCTTATCCTCACCCCTCTGCTCTTACTCTTCCCGCCTTGGATCCTTATACACATTTTACTAGTTATCTTTCTATTTCTGCAATAATGGTCTTATACTTAAAAAGAACAAAGTATTTGTCTTTAAGAGACTGAGTTAGTTCACTTAGCATAATGTTCTCCACTCCCTCCCAAGTAAAGATTTTCAAAATCATTGCTCCTTCTACTATTCCATCATGTGAATGTACCACAATTTCTGAATCTATTCAGTTGTGATTGGACATTTGGGCTGTTTCCATGTTCTTGTGATGGTGAATAATGCTATGAACATTGGTATCAAGTCTCCATTTGTGCCTCAGTTCTCATTTTCTCAGGGTATATTCCAAGCAGTAGGATAGCTGGGTCATATGGGATTTCTATGGCCAGCTTTTTAGGCCCTTGTCTGAAATCTTTTTTCCCAGTCAGTTTTCACTCTGTTGGAAATTTTTTTTTTTTTTGGGCCTCGATTGGAAAATATTTTTGATGCACATAAGTATTTAAGCTTTGGAAGGTCCAATTAATTAAATTTATCCTCTCATATTTGTGTATTTCTGGCTGTATTTGTCAACCCTTTTATACCATGAGCTAGGCCTTCTAAGCTTGGTCCTACTTTGTCTCTTACAATCTTAATGATTTTGGGCTTTACTGTCTCTGGAGATGGTATGTTTGAAATACTGTACTTGAGCTAGGAAAATTTAACCTTGTCAATGCTGGGGAAATGATCTGCGGCATTCCCTGGGTCATGCTAAGAGTTTATATGATTTACTAAGCTATTATTGTGTATCATCTAGTCGTAATCCACTCATACCTGACCCTCCAGTGGGTTTTCAGAGGCTGTAAGTCACACAGGAAGAGAGTACCCATCTTTCTCCAAAGGAGCAGCTGATAAGAACTGCCCTGATTTCCAGTAAACCTCATGTCTCCAAACTGTCGGTAGTTAGGGTACCTTGTCCTTTAAATATTTGTCACTTTGTCAGAGGTTGTTAATTATTTTCAGAGTTTCCTACTGTTAGCCTGAATTGGATTAACCAACAGCATCTATAGACTGAAGAGACCCACCTAGAGCAAAATAAAATGATCACAGTTGGATCTGGCACATGGTTTGAGATTCGGGTTCAGCTGTTATTGCTTCTCTGTTTGCAGTGCATAAAGCACTCCTACTACTTTTTGAATGAATATTTATGACCTTGTGAGCTTGCTGGAGTCACTCCATCTAAAAGCTAAGGAAAAATGCGGTTGGAAGTGGTATTGAATTTCTCAAACGTTACAGATGATAGAACATGACGATTTTTACAAAACCTCCAGATGCAGCTTATAAAGTAACCTTGTGAGACATCATAAGCCAAATTGCTTGGTGGGTATTGGAAAGCAGAGCATGAGGGTTAACTGATCGTCCCTAATTGTAGGTACCAATGGGCCTACAAACAGGAAAGTTATTACAAGGCTGACTGCTTGGCTATTAGTCAGATCAGCAAGTATTTCTTTAGTATTCTGGTTTTAGACTGTAAGCCATCATCCATTTCTTCATGGTAGCTTCTTGGTGTCGAAAGAACAAATGAAAGAATTTATTCCTATCCAGAGATCTAGTTTTCTCTGATATTTATAGTGACACATGAACTTAGGGATCTCAGAACCTACCTCACAAAAACCAGTCTTTAACGTGGTATATACCTTCCAAGCGTACTGTCCATGATAAGATTACTACCTATGGGCTCAACTAGTACAAAAACTTAACCATTTTCTTATGCTTCTCTGGATGTCGAGTCATTTACAATCTCAAGAAATGTTTTCTTTGTTAAATGCCATCAAGATGACTCTGCTCTCATCATGACCCAGTGAACAACCTTGAGCTACCTGCACCGTCCTCACGCTTTCGTCATCCTTAAGCCCCTTGTGGCAGTCTCTGTGTCAATTTTTGTTTCGTAACTACTAAAATTTTACTTAAAGTTTTGCCTGCCTCAAAATCGGTTAACCCATCGAAGGAAATTAACTAGCACCATGGATTATGTCTTACAGCTTTCCTCAAATGAAGGAGAGCACAACAATCCAGGGAATATCATGCCTCTTTTTATGCCCCAGTCACCCGTGACTGCTGCTCTTTCTGATGAAGATGATGGCTTCATGGACCTCCTGGATGGAGAGAATCTTAAGGTACTGAGAGAGAGAAAGCGCGCGCGCGCGTGTGTGTGTGTGTGTGTGTAAGGTTGAGAGTGAGAGTGCGTGTGTGTGTGTGTGTGTAAGGTTGAGTGAGTGTGTGTGTGTGTGTGTGTGAGAGAGAGAGAGAGGTTGAAGGATCTAAGGATGCCTCCTCATATATACCCTCAAGGATTATGCTTATTGCTGTGTTCGGATATAAGAACTATTAAGTGTGATCCTCTTCTGACCTTAAGAATGGGGCAGTGGTGGTGAAGGAGAGGGCTTTTAGATGCTTTTTATAAGTAAGTTTTCCTCTTTCTCTAGAATGATGAGGAGACCCCGTCATGCATGGCAAGCCTCTGGACAGCCCCCCTTGTCATGAAAAGAACTACAAACCTTGTAAGTACCTATGTGTCTGAAGAGAGCCTTAAGGAATTGAACTCTGGGGCAGGAAGGACGTAGGTTATCCTCTGACAGAAAGCTGGCTCTTCTGCTGACAGCGCCAGTGGAATCTCCCTATCTTGGGTTTGTGAGCCTTCCCATTTAACATTTTTTTTCTCTGGTTTAAGGCACTATTTGGGGGAGATTTTTTTGTTTTTACTTTTGTTGATTGTGCAGAAGTCTTGGTAATGTATATGTATGTGGTTCTTGTTATTACCATTTCATATCAACCATTGTTACTTAATGTCCTTTGTGGCTGATCTACAGCTCTGACCTCCCTGAAATCTTTACTGATGTAAGCATCCCTTTACATGGTTTCACTTCCAGCTTGCAGCGTCCTCACAGTTGTCCAAGTGACCACTGACACTCTGCTTTGCACCTTTGCAACGCAGAGGAGCTCCATCCTGGGCCTCATGGGGTAGACACTTGCTTTGGCCACCATTTATTTCTGTAAGATGTTGGTCGGGGTACTGGATGAATTGTGCTTTTATCCTTGAAACTTCTATTCTAGCCAGTGTCCTTATTTAAACTTTTTTCCTATTTAGACATTTTTATGCCTGTTTCTCAACTTGACCTAAGTAAAATTTGTCTTCACTATTATCCTTTGCAGCATCTTGTTTTAGCTTAGCCCCAGTATTAAAGTCAAGCTTCTAAAACGTGAGGCAGGCAGTAGGACCTAAGTGGTTTCCCAGTGGCTAAGTGAACAATGTTGCCTAGTTAAACTTGTACATACAACATTTGTTAGCTCTTCAACCTCCAGCCAACAAACTGACACCGTTAATTGGTTTTAACATCCGTTGTGGCCACGTTTTAGTATAATCTAGCTGTCTTGCACCTTTCCTGGGTTTAAGTGGGGTGTTAGAACCCATCACACTATTCAAGTAAGGTGCAAGTCACATAGTGGATGGCAAGAGGCCAGTCCAGACTGTTCCTGACCAGAAGGTCACCATCACTTCTTTTCACTCTTGGCAGCATTTGTAGACAGTAAGTTTTATTTTGTTTTTTAATTGAGTTTTTTGTTTGTTTGTGTGGTTTTTTTTATTATTTTTGTGTGCGTGTACTGTCAAATCAGATCTGACTGGTACAGGAGATTGTCCCTCCTTACCCAGCAGAGCATCTGGTGGATTCGAACCATTCGCCTCTGGGATTTAATTGAGATTTTAATGGAAGTTTATAAAGAAATTGGATTTCTATTCATTCATTGTTGCACGTTTTCTTCCCTGCCTCCCCCACCCCCAGTTTGCTTTTTTTCCTTGGGGGAAGAAAGTTCTTAAATTGTAATACAACCTTCCACCCCCTCAGACCACTTGACTATGCAGCTCTTATTCTGGACTGTTGTCATGCCAATAATACCTAATCATATATTCCTTTTATACAGTTCTCTCCCTCGTCTGTTTCAATGCCGTGTACATTCCTTTTCTTAGTTTCCTCCCAACTCTCATGTCAGTCCTGTTTCATAACAATGGTATTGTGCAGTATTTGGGGGTTTTTTGACTGAGCTATTTCACTCAGCATAGTGTCTTCCATAGTCACCCATTTTGTATAATAATTCATGAGTTGTTTTTCAGTGCTGCATAATATTCCATTGTGTGACTACCACAGCTTCTCTATCCATGTTTGTTGATGGGCACTTGGGTTGTTTCCACCTCTTTGCTATAAACACGGATGTGTAAACAGTAAGTTTTTTAAGAGCAAGGATTATCTTCCTTGTCTCTGTGTAGTATCTGTGGTGTTGTACATGTTCTTAGAGCACCCGGTGCTCAGTGTTTGTTCCATGCTAGAACCAAAGAAAGTGACTTGGTCCAGATGAAGAGAAAGCATCTGTGTTCTGATTTACAGTAGATTTTAAACTAGTCCAGGAAGTCCCTTCCCCCTCTCCCACTTTGCCTTACCATCCACAGTGGACAGTTTTTCTTGAAAAGTTGATTCTGCTTTGTTTTTCTTCCAGGATAATCGATGCAAGCCATTTGACTCCTCTCCTGTGTGTAGCTCCTTACGGGCCACAGTAAAGAGAACAGAACGATCTCAAGAGGCATCTCCATGTGTAAATATAAAACGGAGGAGGAACATGGGTGTGGCTGCGCTGGAAGAATCAGCATCTCCTGAGAATCCTGAGGAGGTTAGTTTTGCAAGTTCCTTTTTGCCCCAAGGGACTGATTTTTTTCTTTATTTCAGAAGTGTCCATAATTGTTGATGCATTTTTATTATGACTGCTTTAAAATGCTTATCAATAATTTCAGCCTCTTTGAGAAGTCACTGTTGGTATCTGTAACTTGTCTTCCTGTTCAAGTTCCCATTTGTAATTCCTAATGACATTTTCCTGGTTCTGATTATGATCGACTTGCCTCTTATTCCTGTGTGTGTGTGTTGGATATTATGAGTCTCTGGACCTTTATAAATCTCTTGTCGCAGACTTTGTCTGATACTGTAGAGGAGGTGGGAAGGGGAAGACACCCTATCATTACTGCCATGTGGAAACAGAAGCTGGTTTTCCAAGCAGCCTCCATAGACAGCTGGGGTGGTGAGAAACTCATTTTCTGGTAGGACTTGGGGTTTTGGGGTTCCACTGACACCACTGTGCAATCTTTTTTGAAAATATCCCATTGGCGATGAGATAGGACACTTCATTCCAGCTCGGTGAGAGGGTGTGGCCACAGCCTTTTCCGCTGGTATTTACTTAGAGGAGAGCTGTTAGTGTCTAAAGGTTTTCTGCCTTGATAAGATGACCTTTTCTTAGTCATTTGGCTAAAGAGAACAGGCTTTCTGTTGGTGCTTGTATGAGTTTTAAAAACACGTGAGAAAACACACCATCTGTACAATTACTCTATGCAATTTACTGGCACTGATTATATTTTTCAAGTTGTACAACCATCCTCATCTTTTTATTTCCAGTGATTCATACTTTATTTATTCCAGATTGACTCAAATTTAAAAAAAAAAACCAACACTTTTTTTTAATCTCTTCATTTCAGTTTTTTTTTATTATTATTAAATTTTATTAGTTTTAATGAACATTTACAGGGATTTTGGGTTTTCATTCCTTCATTGCCGCACCATTCTCTCTACCCTCCTCCCCAGTTTGTTCTTCTTCCCCGCCATCCAAATGTCTGTTTTAATTGTCCAATTGCCACAGTGCTTGTCAAAGTCAGTTCTGATTAATCTCCTTTGTCAGTGTGTCCTTTGCCATTCGCTATCACTCCTCCCTGAGAGAGACTTCACCCTGAGTCATAAGGAAAAGGGGATGGCGTATTCTCTTAGCTACTTCCTGCTGAAAAGGGACGCTGTGGGTTTCAGGGTGAAGATCTCTCACTACTCTAAAGGGCCCCTTTGGCAGTAGGGAACACATAGACTATTATGGAGATTGATTTTGGAATTTAGATGCACTCTTATTGATTGTGCTTGGCCTTACATGTTCATATCCTTGAAGATGTATCATGGGGGTGTTGCAACCTAGAAGACACAAATTTAACTAACAAGTTATAAGTACATGAGTCCAAAATTATGGAAAAGTAAAAGAAAAGCTTCTTTCATTGTTTTACAAACCCTCCCCCAGGTCCCCTCCACCATGTAGCGCTCGCTCTAGACTCCTGTGATGACAGAAATACCTAGTCACATCTCTTTTAAACAGTTTTCTCCCTCTTCTGTTTCAGTGCAGTATACATTATTGAACCCATCTTACTCAGTCTCTCCCCAACCCCAAGGACAGTCCCATTCTACAACAGTGGCATCATGTAATATTTGTCCTTTTGTGACTGGGATATTTCACTCAGCATAACGTTCTCCAGAGTCAACCATTTTGAATAATATTGCATGAGTTCCTTGTTTTTTAATGCAGCATAGTATTCCATTGTGCGAATATACCACAGCTTCTCTAGCCATTCGTTTGTTGATGGGCACTTAGGTTGTTTCCAACTCCTTGCTATTGTGAACAAAGCTGCAATAAACATGGGTGTGCATATATCTGCTTGGATGTCAGCTATGGTCTCTTCAGGGTATATTCCCAGTAGTGGAATTGCTGGGTCAAATGGTATCTCTATTTGCAACTTTTTGAGAAAGCGCCATACTGCTTTCCACAGGGGTTGCACCATTTTACACTCCCACCAACAGTGAATCAGGGTTCCAGTTTCTCCACAACCTCGCCAGCATTTGTTGCTTGCTGTTCTGTTAAATTTTGCTATTTTGACTGGGGTGAGATGATATCTCATAGTTGTTACATTTCAGTTTTTTATTCATAGTTTTAGATCCAATATCCAAGACATAGTTTTCTTTTTTTAATTTTATTAATTTTAATGAACATTTACAGAGATTTTGGATTTCCATTCATTGTTGCACTAAAAAAATATCTCTTTGGTGATTATAGACAATGCTCCTGTTTGTGAATGCTTTTCAGAAATTCCATCGAAAACTCAATCTTTGATTTGTTACAGATTTTACATCAGTCATTATCTTTGGCATCTTCTCCCAAAGAGACCATTGGGAACATCTTGGACAATGACCCAAGAGACCTCATAGGAGATTTCTCTAAGGTAATTGCAAATAGCTGTAAGCAGAGCCTCTCTGTGGGACACGGGGGTGGAAGAATGCTGGTGGTGTAGTCCGTAGTGTGTTTCTCAGCTAACCAGACTTAAAATTGCTCCTCACCAGTCGCCCTTCCTCCAACACAAAAATCAGGCTCTCTGGCAAGTGTGGGGTTGTTTCTTATTTTTTTGGGTGGGTGAGATTTTTTGTTTGTTTTCTTATTGTGTACCGGCAATTCCATCCTTCTTCAGAGTATCTGGTCGATTCAAACCACATGCCTACAGACTTGCAGTGCAGTTTCTTGCCACTAGACCACCAGAGCTGCCTCAAGTGTGTTTTTAATTATAAAAATATTATAGCCAGTCCTCAGGTTTTAAAGTCTGACTTTCAGATGATTCCTACTGACTCTAAAGCCTTGCTTCAGACTGATTCTTTCGTTGCCAGTGAATTGAATGACGTAGGAACAGAGCTGAATTTTTACAGGTTGAGTACTTCGTTACAATTACTGGAATGAGAAAAATTATAGATTGAAACCTCAGAATGGGAAATTTCAGAAGAGGCATTGTGAGCCTTTTCAGAAGCCTTTAAAGACTGAGCTTTTCTTGCTTTTTTAAAATTCATTCTGACCCTCCACTGAGTGTCTGGGGATGTGAATCACATAGGAGGAAGTTACCTATCTTTCTCCCTCAGAGCTGTTGGTGGATTCAGACTGCCAAAGACACATGGGTTAGCAGTGCAACTCTCCACAAACTACACCCCTAGTGCTATGCACTGAAGTAAGACTAAATAAGAACAATGCAATGCACCTGTTCCAATTCACCTCTAAACTCCACTTAGAAATATGACACCTGGGGCTGCCTGTATTGCATACAAGTCTGTGTGTTAACAGGTTGTTATGGATAATCCAAGATCAAAACAGAATTTCAGTTATCCAGAGCGAGATGACTTTTTAAGGGAAAAGGCCCATAGAGAGGTTGGGGAAAGTTGGCTGCATTTGAGCCATGGTGAAATATCAAGGTAGAACAGAGCATGTGCCAGTAACAACTTATTGAACCATAATTAAAGTGATGGATCTTGTCTTCATGGATTTAGTTAACATATATTAAAGCACTTTACTATGTATTAGGCACTGTAAGAGATTCATAAGTAGAACCCCATTTCTTTCCACTCAATAAACGATGTCATAGTAGAGCAGCCGCATACCACATAGAATTGAACCACATTTACTAGACATAGATAAAAATAAATGTTGCTGAGATGAGCAACAATAGCCTAAGAGATATAAAAAATTTGTCTTAGCTTGAAGATTGGGGAAGGTGTGGATTTGGTTTTTCAGCTGGGTGGAATTTAGAGGAATCGGACAATTAAGTTGAAAACAATTTTTAATTGCTATTTACAATCTGAAATGAGAAAGTCTGAAAAGCAGATGGGAAAAGAAATTAGTTGGTAGTTGTAAGATTCCATCTGGCTTAAGTTTCCCTTTCTAAATATTTCTTGTAGATTTTTCTAAAAATTAAATAGTATGTTATTAATAAAGTGCCTGGGAGAGTAATTAGCATATACTAGATATCTGTATACATATTGCATTGATAGTAGTCTTTCTGATTTGTTAAACATCACTTTCTGGGGTTTTTTTTTCTCCTGCTTTATTTTAGGTTTATCTATTTCACACAGTTGCTGGAAAGCATCAGGATTTAAAATACATCTCTCCAGAAATTGTAAGTAATCCTTTTGGAGCCCATGGGATATCTGAATCTAGTGTCCTTACGGCCAAGGTTGATTCTCTATTGCTCCTTTTTTTTCCCTCTCTGCAGATGGCATCTGTTTTGAATGGCAAGTTTGACAACCTTATTAAAGAGTTTGTAATCATTGACTGCCGATACCCATATGAATATGAAGGAGGCCACATAAAGGTAGGCATTTCTGAAGGTTGCTGTCAGGCCAACTGTTTTGTTTTTGGGAAGGAAGTCAAGGGAGGAGTGAAGAGGTTCCATAATACTTGTGGTTTGGGTACAGATATTTGAATACTTGAGGGTTCCTACCTGAGAGAAGCCTGTTTCTGGCAATGTGTCTCTGGCAAGTTTAACAATCCTTCCTAGTGTGTTAAGTGAGGATGCTTTTTCCTAGGAAGAAAGGAACTATTAGTGCTATTTGATTGTTTTCAACCAAAATAAAGAAAAAATATTAAAAAGAAAGTTAAGAGGATGCTTTACATACAATATTTGCTTAGGGTCTTGAAAGTGTCCATGTTCACAAACCTCATTCCTGAAGTGTATACCATAATCTAGTACAGAATTTGAAGACCTGTTTCCAGTCCCTCTATGTGTTCTACATCATTGAGGTGTCAGGTGGTCTGCTGTTGAGCTGGGAAACCTGTTCTCACAAAGGTCTCCTGGACTTAAAGGTTCTTTTCTTTTGAGTCATGACTGTAGTCATGGACCACACAGATAGCTCTGGTCCCTCCACAGGGGGCGGTGAACTTGCACATGGAAGAAGAGGTTGAAGACTTCCTACTCAAGAAGCCCATTGTACCTACTGACGGCAAGCGGGTCATTGTCGTGTTCCACTGCGAATTTTCTTCTGAACGAGGCCCCCGCATGTAAGTGCTGCATAGAACTGTGCTCTTGAGAAGTAGAATTACAGTAAAACCCTATTCACTTTGTTGTTATGTGCCATCGAGTCGCTTGCAACTCATAGCGACCCTATGTACAAGAGCTCTAAACGCCATTCTATCCTCTGCCAACCTAGCCATCTCAAATGCACTCATTCCCACCACTCCAGCCACAGAATCGATCCATCTCATCGAAGGTCTTCCTCTCCTTCGCTGCCCCTCCACTCTGCCAAACATGATGTCTCTCTCCAAGGACCAGTCCCTCCTTGCAACATGCCCAGAATATGTCAGACTAAGTTTCAGAATCCTTGACTCCAAGGAGCATTCTGGCTTCATCTTCTCCTGGACAAACCCTTTTGTTCTCCTAGCAGTCCATGGTATATTTAACACTCTACTCCAGCAACACAAAGGTATCAGTTCTCCTTCTATCATCCCTGTTCACTGTCCAACTCTCTGATGCATAGCACGTCATTGGGAAGGCGATAGCCCAGATCAGGCACACCTTAATCTCCAGCCTGATGTCGTTACTCTTCAGTATTCTTGAGAGGTCCCTCACAGCTGACTTTCCCAATGCAATTCGTCTCTTTATTTTCCTGGCTGTTACCAAGAGTGTTGACTATGGAGCCAAGGAAACTAAAACTGTTAACTATCACAATCTCTTCACCATCCATACTGATACTGCCAATTGGCCCAGGGGTGAGAATCTTTGTTTTCTTGATGTTGAACTTCAATCCATATAGGAGGCTGCAGTCTTTGACCTTCTTCAGCAAGCGCTTCAGGTCCTCCTCAGTTTCAGCAAGCAGGGTTGTGTCATCTGCATAATGCAGGTTGATGACTCTCCCACCAATCCTGATGCTACATTCCTCGTACAGCCCAGTGTCTCGGATGATCTGTTCTGCATTCACTTAGGACATTAAAATATATCATGCTCCAACAAAGTCCTCCACCTATTAAACAATAACAGCTGGGGAAGTCACATAGTCCATGATGATTCTGTATTTGTGTGGTAATATTAGAAGGCTTGGGAAAGGCCAGGCAGTTGCCCATCTATCTCCAGAAGTTCATGCAGAAAGGATTTGCAAGCCTGGAGTGTGCAGATCCTGTTGAGAAGGGGACCCAGGAGAGAGAAAACCATAGTTCTAAGCCCAGGTGGCTAGAGAGAGGCTACAGGCAGTATTGCTGTAGCTTTCATGGGCTAAGAAAGACTTCACATGGGACCATGGGAAATCTCTCTTCAGATGGGGCCACTGTTTTCATTTTGAACAATTGCAAAGATCAAGGAAAAGTCCTACCTTCAGTATTCCTCATTGCATCTACCAGCTGCTAGTACCTTGCTGCAATTTGTGCTTGTGTCCCCTACACACACAACTGTAGTTGGAACTTCACCTATGTCACTTGATGCGTACAGCTCCCTGAGTCTTTCAGCATCTTTGTTTCTAGAGCAAAGACCATTTTATATTAATATAAGTTCTATTCAGTCAGTGCAGTGACATTGACTGAGCAAGTTTCCCATGGTCAGAAACTGCATCCCAACACAATTAGTGTCCAAGAAGGTGTCCATAAAGGTGGGAGGTGTGTGCAGGAATTGCTTAAACCTTACACAGTTTTTTCTGGTTTTAGGGGGTTTTGTCCTTCTGCACTGGAAATGCCAATCTGACTTTGACCTCCCATTTGTTTTTCTAGGTGCCGGTATGTGAGAGAGAAGGATCGACTTGGTAATGAGTATCCAAAACTCCACTACCCCGAGCTGTATGTCCTGAAGGGTGGATACAAGGAGTTCTTCCTAAAATGCCAGGTGAGTAGCTGCATTGCCTTGCTTCTCTCAGCTTGCACACCTGGGACGAGCTCTGGTAGCCTAGTGGCAAGAAGCTGCACTGCAATCTCAGTTTGCACCCCTGGGAGGAGAGAGGTGAAACAGAGTGTGTGGGGGCAGGGGGGTGTAGGGTGTACAGCAGGTGTACCCTAACCTCACCTTCTCTTGTCCCTCAGTCTTACTGTGAGCCCCCCAGCTACCGGCCCATGCACCATGAGGACTTTAAAGAAGACTTGAAGAAGTTCCGCACCAAGAGCCGGACCTGGGCAGGGGAAAAGAGCAAGAGGGAGATGTACAGCCGTCTGAAAAAGCTCTGAGGCGGGTGGTGCCCAACTGCAGCAGCCCAAGCCTCCCTCCTCATTCCTATCTTTGCTTCAGGAAAACTTGAGAAAAACGGGCCTTTGAAGGGAAGAGCCTGTGGCTTCCATGCCTCCAGCCTCCCACACTCCCAGGATCAAAGTCCTGGGTACCCACTGGCAGCACCTCTTCTGCCCATCGTACAACGGCCTCCTTTCACATCAGGACTGCCGAGTTTCGTGGCTCACTTCCAAGCCACTGCAAAGACATCCCAACTCCTGCACAGTCGGATGAACACCCTTTTGCCTCTGACCTGAAGCAAGGGGCTTTAGACGGGAGAGGGACGTGGAAGTAGAGAGAAGTAACATGAAGAGAAATGCTGCTAATCAGAAACTAAAGGCAGCCCGGAAAGGAAGGATCTTTGTGGGATAAGCCGTAGCTTTAATTTATACCATTTTATCAATCATTTTTATTTTAATTATTTTTTTTAAAAACTCTTGGAGACTAAACTCCTTCGTTAGGTCAAAATACTGCCATTCTAGATAGGGTTTTCTTATCCCATGGACTACCTCTGCTTTTACTTTTTAAAAAAAGAGAAAAGTCAAACCTGTTGCAAATTGTGGGACAGAGAACTAGGAACTCTGTCGCCTCCAGGAGACATTACAATACTGAGGCTGCTGCTATTTGAAGCCAAAAACTGAGATACTCATGGGAGTGGGCGCTGGCCTTGAGCTTGGCTGCAAGACATAAGCTACAACCTCTCAGACCTACCTCAAAGGCTGTTGAAATCCATTTGGGGCCAGGGACATTCCCTGTAATACTGGCTAGATGAGGAGCCACAGGAAGAAAAGCACTTCGGGCAGCTTCCACCAGGCCATCCCCCAGGTCATGGTTGGAACATAGGAGTTGGGTACCCCAGGGTAGGGACGGGAAGTGGGGAGGCTCTACAGAGCAGGAAAGGAAAAAATACACTGAGTGTCTTCTGTTACTCTGACACTCTTTAAGAGGGGGGCGGGGGGGCATGTGTGTGTGTGTGTTGGTTTCTCTTGTGTTTTGCTCTACTTTCCCTCCTTGTTTTTTTTGTTTGTTTTGGTTTGTTTTTTTTTATGTGTGTGTTTTTTATTTGTTTGGGGGTTTTTTAAAAAAAATGGTCATTTTATGAGTAAAATATCAAGTCAGTGTCAGATGAGCCACCCAAGGGCATGAAGGGGCCTGGAAGCCCTAAGGACTAGGAGAAAAGTGGGGGACTGACGTAGAAATGACTAGAAAATACATTTCTAAGGGAGGAGTCTGGTGGATTTTGGAGGTAAAACTTTCTGGATTTATCATGTTTTAATTTGAGGGATGGGGAGTGATGAATCATCACCAGTTGCTCCCCTTCCATCCACAGAGCTGGGGTTCATTTGATTGATTTTTAGACAGGTCTGCTTGGTACCTGCTCATCCCCGCCCTCAGGCTCCAGCCACCTCACCATCTGTGCCATTGGGTATAACCAGGTTTCTCTTATTTATGAGAGAGCGAACCACACCTCTTGCCTTCTTCTGAGAATGGGGAGGGAATCAATGATACAGTTGACTGTCGGTGAGTTGCATTTCACTGTAAAACAATCTTGTTCAAAAAAAGTATGTGGGGACTAGATGACTTCTTCCCACATGTACATTGAGACATCAAAGTTTGGTCCCTGATCTTGGTTTTAGAGAGTTTGCATTTGGATTTTTTGTTTGTTTGTTTCTTTGGTGGTTTTTTTTCCCCTTTTCATTTGAATGCCTGGGAAGGGAGGTGAGATGACCTTCATATTGTACCAGCTCAGCCAACATTGCTATCCTATCCACCTGTGTTGCAGGTTCTAAAAATAAACAACCTGGAACCTAAACTATCAGCCTGGTTCTCGATAAATTGAAATAATTACTTTTCCTTTTAAGATTTGGGACAGCTAGCTACATTTCCTCAGGAAGCAGAAGACTCAACTTAGCCTGAGCTCATTCTCCAATGCCTGAAACATTGGAATTTGCTTACAAGATAAACCAGGTTGAAGGAACCAGCCAGGATACTAGAGGATGAAATGGGACAAACATGAAATAAGTTGTGGGCCCTCAGGTACAATTTAGGCTTAGTATGACCATGGACACAAAATTCAAACACTGCCAAGGATTAAGCTCTTTCATCTACTAGCATCTCATTTCTTCCAGTTTGGTTTTTTTTTAAAAAAAAAACTCATTAAGAGGTACTGGCACGGACAAGCCCTCTGCACACTCGTGTCCAGTTCAGCCCACCATGTATGCAGGAGTCTAGAAATGCCTTTAACTCATTCATCCTTGAGGCCTCTATTGAGATGCATGGTAGCAGTGTTCTAGCTCATGAAAAAAGCAACAATCTGCTACCAAGCCCAAGGGCCCATTCTTCAGTGTAGTGCGGGTTGTTTTTTTTTTTTACCATAGACAACATCAAAAGTACAGTGAACTAGCTAGTACCCAGCTTCAAAAAAAAAGATTTACAATCTTGTTTCTTCACCTACTCAACTACATGTGGCAAATACAGAGCCAACAGGTCAAAGTTCTGTACACTTGCTAAATAAACACCCTGAAGGAACGAGGCTCCTGACTGTAGATAAAACAAGGACTTTAAGGTTAACTGTTGTAACAGCCCACAAAGAAAATGTTACACATTCTACTCTGATGAATAGTCCCTGATGTCTTAAAAGCTGGGGGGAGGAATTGTGAGTGATTCTATTGGTGCAGCTTGGTTTTAGAGTTTGCATTTGGATTGTTTGGTTTTTTTTCCCTTTTCATTTGAATGCCTGAGAAGGGAGGTGAGATGACCTTCATATTGTACTGGTCCAGAAAATTCAAGGTCCCTGAAAACAGTCCATAGTACTGATTGACCTCCACTTACATGAACTTAAAGACCAGAATGGCACCTGGCTGCTCCCTCTGGCCACTTTGAAAGGAGTCACAGCAGAGGGTCTTAGGCAGACTGGGAGATAAAATAAGGAACAAAACTAAAAACAGCCAGTCTGGCCTGATAACTCTGGGTCCCCCCAACGAGCTTAGAACTGGACTCCCTGTGGCACAGGTCTCAGCCTCCAGTGTCATGACAACTCAGCAACCCTGTTCTGTACCATCCTGGTGATCTCCAACGAGCTTGAGCCCATTGTTTTAGTCACTGTCAGTCCATTGTGTTGAAGGTTTTTCTTTTCTTTTCCCTGCCTCTTTTTAAACAGTCCCTCTGTAAGGACTATCCACTTAGCTTTGTATCCAAAGACGAAATTTGTAGGTGAAAGGAGTTAGCCTTCGTTACAGACGTTAATTTCAGGGTCAAAATATGGAACGCTTCACGAATTTGCGTGTCATCCTTGCGCAGGGGCCATGCTAATCTTCTCTGTATCGTTCCAATTTTAGTATATGTGCTGCCGAAGCGAGCATGAAGGTTTTTCTTTCACTGACTTTTCATCTTTCTCAGCATGATACTTTCTCTTTCCAAGGACTGGTCCCTCCCAAAGTACGTGAGACGACTTCACCATCCTTGCCTCTGATGAGCCACCCTGGTTCTGCCAAGACAGCCTTGTTTGTTCGTTTGGTATCCCTAGGGTAGTCAATAAGACTACTAATTCAAAGGTATTGATTTCTCAGTCTTTATTCATCCGACTTTCGGTGCAATAGAGAAGTCTATAAGGTGATCATAGCAAGGAGGAATGCAGTCTTTGGAACAAACAATCATCAAAAGAGCATTGCCCGGTATCAGAAGAATGGAAAGGGGAGGGTAGATGGATGAAGGAGAACAAGAATTACAGGCAGCAGTGTGGGGTGGTGGTTTGCAATGTAAGGATTGTAATCAATGTCATAAAATGTGGTTGAATGGAGAACCATTCTATGATTTACATCCAAAAAATTATTTGAAATTTCATTTGAGCAGATAATATTTCCCTGGTTTCTGCAAAAGGAAACTTCTGATAAATCTTTATAAAAACTGGGTACTGGGGCCACTGTGTGATCTCCACCAACTTCACAGGGGAGAAGAATCAACAGTACACAGCTGATTCCTGAGCTCTGAGCTCGGACATTCCTTCTTTTCATCAACCGGCCCTCCTACAGCTCTCACTGAGATTCTTCTATGTTTAATGATTCATTGCAATGACAACACACAAACAATACCCAGGGTTACAAGTTTATTAGGGAAGTTGACAGGATACAGTTCAGTAAAGACAGCCTCTTAGGTGTCCTGAGAAGCAAGCCTCTTGACCTTGCCCTGCACAGCTCTTTGAGCTCAGCCAATTATATACCAGCAGCATTCCCTGCTCTAACAGTAAACCTAGGCCTGAAAATGCTTGGCTCTAGCTCGGTCTCTGGTTCTACTTGTGCTACCACCACCTTGCTGCTGTCTTGTGTCAACTCACCATCTCAAGTTCTCACACTCTTTCCAGTCTTGCAGTTCTACATCTTGGGTTTACACAAAAATTTCAGGTCTAAAGGACACGCTGCCCTCTCTGGTTCTCCCTTATTTATTGTCGTAAAATCCCTATTCTCTGCTTCTGAGCCAGCTCAAGCCCAGCAGGATAGCTAAACTGACCAATCACCAGTCATACTCTGCATCTTATTGCATGGTCTCACTGGAAGGGTGAGATCATGAGTGTACAGATCATAATGAAAGATGGTGAAACCTCATCTCACATATTTTATGAGTCAAGATACAATACCTTGATACAGAAGAAAAACAATTGTATTTTTTTATTATTACTAATTTTAATGAAAGTTTACAGAGACTTTGGATTTCCATTCATTCATTGTTACACTTTTTTCCCTCTCCCCCTCCCCTCCAGTTTGTTCTTCTTTGAAAAGTAAAATTCTCTCATTGTTAGACAGTCACTTCCCCCAAGTCCACTCCACTATGCAGCCTTTGTTCTGGACCCATGTCATGGTAATAATACCTAATCATATATCCCTTTTAAACAATTCTCTTCCTCATCTGTTTCAATGCAGTATACATTAGTTATCCCATCTTACTCGGTCTCCCCCCTGCAACC